TATTATTCTCAAAGTATTACAAATATGATCTGAATTGAAAAGATGTTGTCTTAGAGGAAAAGTTATTCAAACACAACAGATCAATATAAGCAGATTTTCTCCAAAGTGATACAGACATCTCAAGATATTTCACATGACAAGTAATGGAGAGGTGGCACTAACCTTAACTTGTGTAAGTTAGTGCTCACATACCTGTTATCTGAGTACTCATTGATTTTTTTTTTAGTTCAGAACTGCACACTTGATGAATTATAAGATTCTAGTGTGATCCTGAGATACCCTATGCTGAAAGCTTAGTCAGTTTGTGTCTTACTGTCTCCTGTAGTCTTTTTAATTTCCTAGTGCACTGTAGGAGGAAAGTCCCTTCTGGGGTTTCATGACTGTTGTTTCAATCTGATATATTTGTCCTCTTTCTGCTATGCAGAGTGTGAGCATTAATCACAATTGTCAAGTATATTGGATTAAATGATTCCTAGAAAAGTAGAAAAGTCCAGTTTGGGGTATATCTGGATGGGTCATGAAGGATGACCTTATGAACTATATCTTATTAGCTAATCCATTTCTCTCTTAAACTGTTTCCTGATCTACATCCTGGCCACAATGAACTAAGCAGCTTTGCTTGGCCAGGCCCTTCTGCAATAATGTTTCTGCCTTCTTGTTAGCCAACCAAAGCCTGAATCCCCTGGAAATATGAGCCAAATTAACCTTTCCTTTGTAAGATGATGGCCATTGTGTATTCTATCCCAGGAATAGGAAAGTTGACTAATACAGAAAATTGATACCAGAGCACTGAGAGTTATTGCTGCAATTACACTTGACCATGTTGTTTAGAAACTTTTGCAGGAGAGAAGTTTGGAAGGATTTGGGAATACAGGTTATGGAAATTCCAAAATCTGTGAGTAGAGCCTGATGAATGATTCCATTTGGAACTCAGACGACCTGAATGGTGATAGAAAAGCTGTTAGTAAAGGTCAGGCTTATGAGGCTTCAATTAGAATTATATACTTCATTGGCAGTTGAAAGAGAGGCCATGTGTGTTACAATCTGGGAGAAAAAATATCTACAGAAAAAGAGTGCCTGGAACACCGTTCTGACACTTAACAGGAGGCTGAGTTTAAGGGTAGTGGGCTAATTGTCCTGCCAGAGACAATTTCAAGTCAGGGAAACAATCAAGCTCTACCTTTAGTTTTACTGGTGGCTTTTAGCCATATTTCTAGAGAGTCAAAGACAAAATTATATAGAAAACATGGAAATAGAAAAAAAAAACATAAAGTTGGGCCAAAAATGAGCCATGTGTAAGATTTGGAACAAAAGAGTTACAGTTGCTAAAGATTAGCACCATAACAGTAAGCCAAGTACTTTATTACAGGGCAAATGGGAAAGATATCTTGAAGGCCTCTTAGGAGTCAAGAAGACCCCAGCTATAGCATGCTCAAAACTGTAAAACTCTAAGTCTTTTATATGAGAAGAGAGGGCCTTCTTACAAAGGTCCTCACGGGAATTATTTTACTTTAAAGTAATTGTCTATCTTCAGGCATCTAAACACTATGAGGTTACAGAATTGGTCTAGGATGGGAAGTCCACTGCTCCTGCTGACAAAGGCCTTATCCATATGAGGTTCATTTTACCAACCTAAAGAATGCAAGATTTGTAAAGCCAAGGAAGCTTATACCTAAATTCAAAGTCTAGGAGATCAGTCATTGAGCCTCTGAGTGGATAGTACGTAAAATTGCCAGAATAATTACAACAAGTGCAGGGGAGACTCCAGGAAATCAGAGTTGTTATGAATCTGGAACACCTGTCACAAACACTGCAGGCTGTGAATAGAACAAGTCAAGAAATAAGGCAAATTGACTGCAACAAATAATGCCATAGGGATGGGGTTACTTGGACCCAGTGATTCTCACGTTACAACCACGTGACCTGGATGTTGATATGAAGATATAGAACTTAATTCTTGCCCTACTGGATTTGATTTAGGCTTGCATATGTTTTTCTGTCACCATATCTCTACATTTAGCCTCTAAATCTGTATTCTGTACCATTATATCTGTGATAGTGTAACTGGCTATTTTATTTCTACAGGGGTATAACGATTAGAGTTTGCCCTGAGGCTGAGGGAAGTGATTAGTGTGAAATTTTGAGAAATGCTGTAACTGATTCAATTTTGATGAAGAAATTATCACATATTTTGTTAAATATAGCATTTGCATCATATTGGGCAGAATTATGATTCTTTATTGTCTTTTTGAAGGTGAATTATGGTTTAAGGTGATGTATTTCTTTATCAATTTCATAAAAGATACATTGCACTGGTTAATTGTGATTGTCAGCTTGATCAAATTAAATGATCCCTACAGTTTAGGATATTTAGAATAAATATAGGTAATGAGGGCATGACTGACAAGTATATCTTATTCCAAGCACTTTCTTCTCTTACACTGTAAACTTCCTTGACCACCGTGACCTAAGAAGCTTTCACCATGGTGTTTTGCCTTTGCAGCCAGCAAACATGGACTGAATTCCCTGAAACCATAAGTGAAATTAAACCTCTCCTTCTTTAGAGTATTGATGTAAGTTACTGTTTTGAGGTATAAGAATGCTAATAATTACACACAGAAAACTGCTTTTAGTTCTAGGTCCAATTTGTCCAAAATAATCATTGGCAATCTTGTTCCTTCCTAACCCAGAATAATTCCCTTTAATTTCAAGCAAGATTTTCTCCTTCCAATGCTGAATGAGCCAAGTTAAAAAAACACAAAATTCTTATTCATCAGCTTGAATCATTTTAAAGTATCTCCAATAAGACAATTCCAACAACATGAAACCTTTGAATTGTAAAGCATAAAGATACCAAATGAAGACATTTGACTTGGGAACTACCCAAGAAATGTGATAAAGAACTCTGAATGACTTCTACCACTAGGTTTATCTGCCAGTGTTAACTAAAACTGACTAAATCAAATAATTTAATTTTATTTTTCCTTATTTTTCGTATTTGCTGTATCCCAGAAGAACTTTTGTAAAATTTTACTCATATACTGAAAACATTACCAATGTATTTATTAATTAAATAACTGTTTAATTCAGTGTAAAATATTTCTCTCCTCCAAAAATACTTATTTTTGGTAAAAACATAAAATTCTTTATTTTAGAATTCTGGGTTGTATGTATAATAGTTGTCTACTTATCCACAATATTGATTATTTGCATTATTTGGCTGTTGTGAATACTGCTGCAGTGAACATGGAAATGCATCTGTTTATTTGACATACTTATGTCATTTCCTTTGGACGTATATCACATAGTGAATTACTAGATCATATAGAAGTTCTATTTTTAATTCTTTGAGAAGTTTCCATGCTGTTTTTCATAATGATTACACTAATTTGCATTCTTACCAACAATGAGCAATAGTTTAACTTTTTCAGTATCTTTATTAGCAGGTTTTATCTTTAGTCCTTTTAATGTTAGTCACTCTTACAGGTTTAAGGTGATAGCTTATTGTAGTTTTATAGTGCATTTACCTAACGATTAGTTGAATTTTTAAATTAATTTTATCCATACAGTTTATCAATAATTTTGGATATACATAATGACCACATTCATCATAGGGAATTTGTGCCTGTATATAATAAATATATCTTGATTCTTCTTACCAAGTCCATTCTCTTCCCTTCAAGCCCTTCTCCCCTCCTTATTTACAAATGTAATGATTGTGTTGAATATTCTTTCATGTACCCGTGGGCCATTTGTATGCCATCATGTGAGAAATGTGTAGGGCTATTGTCTATTTTACATGAGATTACATTAACATTACAGCTAGTTTTTGTTTTCCTAATATAGGCTGGATGGCAACATTTTGCCAGAGATGCACATGACAATATTTCCTCTCATCATGTAGGCTGTCTCTGCACTGTATTGATTACTTCCTTATCTGCTAAGGTGTAATTGGTTTTTGATTTGGTGTAATGCCATTTGAGTATTTTTGCTTTGCTTTCTGTATTTTGGTGGATATACAAAAATTCTTGCCTGTTCCATTTCCTCTATATTTTCTTTCACTAGTTTCATAGTTTTAGGTCTTATATTTGAGTCTTTAATCCAGTTTGATTTGTTCTTTGTAACTGATAAAGATATAGATCTTGATATCCATGAGTCTTGACTTTTTTTCTTTAAGGATATGGGCATCCAATTTCCTAATGCCACTTGTCTTAGTTATTTTTCTCACTGCTGAGCCAAAATATAAACAAAAGTTAAAGGAGGAAAGATTTATTTTAGTTTAAAGTTTGTTGAGGTTTCAGTCCATCATTTCTTGGTTCCAAGGGATGTTGTCTTGGAAGAGGGGCATCACAGAGGAGAAATAGTCCATGGCAGGCAGCAGGAAATGACAAAGCAGCAAGCAGCAGCCAAAAATAACCTTCTTGATGTCGTTATATCCCACCAGAGCTAACTGCCGTTTGGGCAGTGCCATCCACATCCATGTGGGGCACCATTAATGCCAGCACCGTACACCCTACATTTAGTCACCTCCAAAAACCCTTTCCTATGACCACATGACGCTTTGGGGGGACATATAGAGAAAACCCATAAGACAACTTATTTAAAAATTTATTCTTCTTACAATGCATATTCTTGACAGCACTGTCAAAATTAGTTGGCTGTAAATACATGAGTTTACTTCTAGCCCCTTATTTCTGCTCCTGTGGTCTACATGTGTGTTTTACAGTCAATAACATGCTCATTTTCCTCCTTCTTAGGTGTTTGTGATGCATAAATAAATTTATCATGGGAAACTGGTAGCTATACATATTGTTTTTTAATCCATTTTTCTTTCACCATGTAGGTTGGCCAGTTTCTAAGTATTTAATTTTTCTTGAAGCTCCATATATGGTACTGTTTTTCTAATTTCTGGTGAGTTTGTTATTAGTGTATAGGAATACTGTTGATTTTTTGTGTTTTTATTCTGTTTCTACATTGCTTAATTTTGTTCTTGATTCTAGGAGTCTTTTGGTGGAATTGTCTGGGGCATGTAGGTATGACCTACAGGATCGTGTCATTTGCAGGTAAGAATACATTGACTGTATTTTCTTAAATATATCCCTTTTCTTTCTTTCTTGTTTTTGATTGTTCTGACTAATATTTTGAGGACTGTGTTGAATAGTAGTGGCGACAGTGAACATTTTTACCTTTTCCTGATTTTAAGGAAAGTTTTCCATTTTTCCCATTTAAAATGATACTGACAATGGTTTAGTCATAAGGAGCTTTTTAACAGATTGAGATAAGATTCTTTTACCAATTTTTTTCAGGGTTTGTGTTTTATCATGAATGGATGTTGAATTTTGTTAAACACTGTTTCTGCATCTATTGAGACGATCATATGTTTTTTATTTAAAAAAGAAAGAAAAACAGTATAAAAAGGTAGAAATGATACAGAATTTCAAAAATAACATTAAGAAAAAAACATTAAGGAATCATCACTATTTGATGTATTACATATTTCTCTCTCAGAGGTAGTTATTCAAGTTACAAAATCAAAGCATCAAAAAGAACAGATAATCAAACAATGACAGCACATATTCTGTTTGATGAACTATCAAAAACTTAGTAGTATGGTCATTTATCTTGCACACTTATACATACGGTTATATACTTTAGAGCACTTTCTTTACCTTTCATTATTGTAATATCTATTATACATTTTGGATCTTACTACTCTTTCAGTATAGTATTATCATTTTTACACTAGAGAGACTATGATATTTGTAAATGTGATTCTGATTTATTTCACTCATGAAGATACTCTCAAGTTGTCTCCATTTACTGATAAAAGCCTAAGACCATCTTTTTTATAGTTGAGTAATATTCCATTGTATAAAAATACATCTTTTCATCCATTCTGCAGTTGATGGGCGTTTTGGTTATTTCCAAGATTTAGCTATTACAAATTGTGCTGCTACGAACACGGGTGCACATATAACACTATGACATGAACTTTTCAGTTTTCTGGAAAAATACCCAGGAGGGGAATAGCTGGAGTGAATGGAACTTCCAATCGTAGCCTTCTGAGAAATCTCCTTAACTGGTTTCCACAGTGGCTGCATCAGCCTACACTCCCACCAACAGTGAAGCAGTGTTCCTTTTTCCCCACAGCACTGCCAACATTTTTTAGCAGTTGATTTCTTGATGACAGCTATTCTCTCTGGAGTGAGAAGAAATCTCAGTACTGTTTTAATTTGCATTTCTCAAATGAGAAATGCAGTGATGATGAACATTTCTTCATGTATTTATTTGCCATTTGTATATATTCATTTGGGGGGCTTGATGTTTTTCAATTCTTTGTATATTCTGGATATAAGTGCTTTGTCTGAAGTCCTGCTGGCTAAAATTCTTTCCCATTCTGTGGATTTTCTTTTCACTTTGTTGGTGATTTCTTTTGAAGGATCATGTGTTTTTGCCTTTGCTTTTGTTTATGCAGTGAATTACATCCATCGATTTGTGTAACTTAAACCATCTTCGTACCTTGGGATGAAACCTATTTAGTTATAGTTTATGATCTTTTTGATGAGATGTTGCAGTCTATGTGCCAATATTTTGTACAGAATTTTTACACTTGTGTTCATTAGAGATACTGACCAATGGTCTCTTTGCTGCATCCTTGTCTGGCTCTGCATCAGTGTAATGCCAGCTTGCAACAGTAATTCCTTAATTAAATAGTTTGAGGAATAATGACAATAGAGCTTCCCTGAATTCGTGTAGAATTTGGCAGCAAATAGATCAGGTTTTTAGCTTTCCTTAATTGGTAGCTTTTTTCTGTTTTTATTTTTGTTGTTGTTTATTTTTACTGTTTCATTTTCATTTCTTGTTATGGGATTGTTCAAGATTTTTACATCTTCTGGTTCAATTTTGGTAATCCTTATGTATCCAGGAATTGCTCCATTTCTTCTTAGTACTCCAGTTTTTGACAAATATTTGTGTAGTACTATAATTAATAATAATCTGGATTTTGGTGGTATTGATTGTGATTTCACATTTTTCATTTCTAATTGCATTGATTTTTGTCTTTTGTTTCCTATTTTGATAAGATTGGCCAGGGATTTGCCTACTTTGTTTATTCTTCTAAATAATCAGCTCTTTGATTCAGTGACTCATTGTATTTTACTCTTAATTTCATTAATTTGTGCTCTGATCTTCATGATTTCCTTCCCTGCACAAGCTCAGGATTTGGGTTGCTCTTCTTTGTCTCGGTTTTGAGATGCCTAATTAAGTTATGGATTTGAACTCATTCTGTTTTCTTTCTAAACTACACTCACAGTTCTGCTTCCAATGTCCCATAAATTCCGATGTGTTTTACTGGCTTTATCATTGAATTCTAGGAACTGTCTTAGCGATTGTTTAATTTATTCCTTGACCCATTCCTTATTCAAGAGTGGTGTTTACTTTCCATAGGTTTCCATGATTTCTGTGGTTTCTATTTCTATTTATTGTTATTCTCATTCACTGTTACATGATAATATGCATGGTATAATTTCAGTTCTTTTGCATTTGCTTTAAGCATGCTTTTTTTAAAGCAATTATGTGATTGGTTTTGATGAAAAAACCATGTGCTGCAGAAAAGGATGTGTACTGTATTACTGTGGAGTGGAATGCTAGATCTATGAAGTTTATTTGTTCACATATTTATTTTAATCTGATATTTCTTTGTGTATTTTTTACTTAATCTGTCTATTCATGATAGTGGGGTATAGAGGTCTCTCATCATAATTGTGTTGATGTATATCTGATTCTCAAGTGCATTGGTGCTTTCTTTATGAAGTTGGGTGCACTCTGATTTGTACATACATGTCTGTGATTGTTATCTCTTCCTGTTGAATAGTTCTGTTAACCAATATGTAATGCCCCCTTTTTACCTCTTTTGATCAGCTTTGGCTTAAAGTGTACTTTGTCTGAAAATAGGATAATTACTCATGCTTGTTTTATTGGATTACCATTGCATGGGATATTGTTTCATATCCTTTGATATTTAGTCTATGATTTTGTTTTTGTGTTAAACATATTTCTTACATAAAGCTTATCATTGGACTTTGTTTCTTGTTTATTTTTGCTAATCCATGTCTTTCAACTAATCAGTTTACATTGAAACTAATCATTTACATTGAAACAAAGTTGATACATGTTGATTTATTCCTGTTATTATATTATTTGCCTGACGTTTTTCTTTTTTTCTCCTTCTACTTTACTATACCTAACTGATACATTCATCCTATTAGACATTTGGGCATTATTGGATTTTTTTGTCTCCTTCTGGGATATACTTGAGAATTTCTTTGAGTGTTAATTTGGTGGTAATGAATTTCTTTAGGTGCTTTTTCATGGACATATACTGTTAGTCTATTAATTTTGAAGCATCAGTTCCAAGATTTACCAGTCTGTGTTGGAAGTTGTTCTCTTTTAGGGCTTGAAACACTATTATATTTTAATCTCTCCTCACTGTTCAGGTTTGTGTTGAGAAGTCTGCTGTAATTCTGATGAGTTTTCTTTTGTAAGTGGTTCATTGCTTTTCTCTAGCAAATTTTAAGATTGTATTGTTATGCTAGATTTCTGATATTTTAATTATGATATGATGTAGATAGCTTTTTCTGGTCATGATCTTTGAGGTTCTATATTCTTACTTACCTGTATGCTAAATTCTTTTTCTATGTCTGGAACATTTTTTGCTATTACTTTTGTAAACAGAGTTTTTATTTCCTTTGTACTATCTTCTGGCTTTTTTATGTATTCCAATTGCAATTATATTAGTCATATTTCCTATCATGTTTTAGATTCATTTTCTTGCCCTCTTGTTTTTAGGGTGTCTTTAACACAACCCTATTTTCTAGATCTGTCACAATCTTACAGCAGCGACTTCTGCTTCCTGTATTTTCAATAAACATTAATCTCTAGATCCACATTTATAATATTTTATTGGTTCCAATTCTTTTCTATACTAGGTATTGATGTTTGTATATCTTTCTTACTTCCTTCAATTTTTCAGTTTATTATTTTTATTTTAATCTGTTAATACCTGCATGCAGTAAATGAGGTTTATATTCATTGTGAGAAGTTTGTACATATACATGACATAGCTTAATTTCTTTTTTCATCCTCTTTTTCCTCCATTCCACATTTTCTACAAGATTTTGAATGTCTTCTCTAGCCTTGGTCATCACTTGTTTCATTATGGTCACTTCTGTTTAGCCATCTTCTTCGAATTCACTCAGTAACTTATAGAACTATTCTGTTACCTTACTTGATACCTTTCAATCATTTCTCCTGCGTAGTTTATGTTATCTCTCCCTTGTTTCCCCTCAGTTGACTTTGGGGAAGTTGGAATGTTTTGGAAATATTTTACTGCCTTGTCTTTTGATGCCTCTATTTTTTAAATTGCTTTTGTTTTCTGTGCTGAGTTTGCAGCTTCTTTGGCCCAGTGCCTGTTCTTTTGTGAATAGGCCACAGTATTATTTATAATCAGACTATATAGACCCTGGCATACACAGGAAGAAAAAGTAAGAAGGTCACTGTGTGAGATGTTTAGCTTTGGTGGCAGAGCACATAGGCAAACTGGGGCCTCCTGTGTCATGTTCTACCATGCAAGTAGTGGCACAATTCATCCAGCATCCTAAGTGGCATGAGGAAGCCTAAGGTGATTTTGTAACCTGAAAATTTGTTAAATTCACTTATTAGTTTTGTATTTATGTGAGAATTTTAGGAATTTTCATATATAAGGTCATATTATCTGCAAAGTTGTTAATGTCACTCTGTTTACTTTGTATGTCAATTTGCTTTTTTTCAATTTTGGTGCCTTTTATTTCTTTTTGTTGCTTAATTATTCTGAATAGGATTCTGTCGGGAGTGTCTAGAGCACTCTGAACCCCGGGAAGAGGCACACACACACCAAGTCGGGACACGGGGGGTGCAGTGAGAGGAAAAGAAACAGAGAAACACGGCAATTGCAACCACACCGCACTGCACTGCACGCTAAGTCTTTATTCCAGGATTCTTATATAGTAAACCGGATCAACTCACA